GAGAGAGAGAGAGAGAGAGAGAGAGAGAGAGAGAGAGAGAGAGAGAAGAGAAGAGAGAAAGAGGGAGAGAGAGAGGGTTGAGGGGGAAAAGACAGATATTGAGCTACACAAGATGTTTTTATAACAGAGGCCTAGATAATGGTGGAGGTATTCATTTTCTTTGCTATAATAATAGAGATTGTGGTTATGTGGGAAGCTACCTTCATTATTAGGACAGTACACACATATAAATCTTAAAAAATATTAGTGGACAGCAAAAATGTTTACAATTTTTGTTTCTAAGAAAATTAACTGAAGATAGCTGGATACCTAATTGATATTTTCAAATATCTGTATATCTGTAATACTTCAAAAGAGAAAATAGGAGAGAATAGATTTTAGAAATTTTTTTGTACAGATTGTTACAATTTTGTTTTGTCTTACCAGGCCTTTTGGGTTGAGAAAAGCAAACAAGCCAACACCCTGTCCCCACCCCTCACACAAAGGCACTTGAATGCAGTACTGTGTATTTGCAGCACAGGGTCAATGCTGCTGCATGCAGCACCTCCCCCTGCATGCCTGTAGGCTTCATGCAGTGGAGCTGTAGAAGGCATTTTGACGTAAATGTTATACTAACATGGATCACACTACATCATGAATCACTAACTTGTGCACTGTGCAGCCTGAGACAGACATTCTCATGACATCATTTTTTCTTGATCTATCACTTGCTACAAGTATCTTGGAATAAATGTTGCCTATTCTTGGCAACTCCAGACACCAAGACTCATAATCTTTTCTCTTAAGATTTCATCCTATTTTCCAATCTAGTGCTGCTCCTGGGAGCTATGTGAATGGCTTCACCTTAAAATTCTGAAATATATTTATTACCCAGGACACAAGCATTAGAAACACAAAAGCATTAGAAGAGATCATTGGAACAATATAGTATGAACTCAATAAAAATATTAAATACATGCCAATTAACATAATGTTTTTCTAACTGTATACCTACAGTTGAAGAAAATGGGGCCAGCCATTGATGCCATGACCATTCTTCTAAACTGTGCCTAGGAAAATCACATAACCTGGAAACCAAGAGGCAGCTGAGAGGAAGAGGTGAACCCCTTGGAAACAGAAACCTCAACATAATTACAAGCAGGGCTTAGGCTTTCCACTTGCCTACGTGCATAAAGGAAAATACTAAAGCGTGAAGCAAGTTTTCTGAACACATTAGCACATGGGTTCACTGACATAACTATGCTTCTTCCTTTCGGCACAATAAATGAAAAGGATGCTTACCAGGGTTTGTCTTCTCAAGTTGATACCACCGGTAGAATGCTCTTTTCTTCTGCTCACTCAGATCTGATCCCTGCTGCAGCAGCCAGTGAGAGATTCGACTCTGACTGATCCCTATAGAAAAAGAAAAATAGCTCTTGGTGGGGCACTGAAATCATAGACAAGTTAATGAGGGTTCTGCTGGCTTTAGTTACTTGGTGCTTATTTACATGACTGTGTGAGAAGCTGTAACTTGAAAAAACTCCTTGACACTAGCCTGACCATACTGACTAGGACATATGCAAAAATGACCTATGAAAAGTCAAACAGTCTATCACCAAAGGTGTTACAGTAGCTTCTAAAATGAATGTTCAAGCTGAGTCCATAAACATGAGATAATGAGAGTATCCCAAGTAGCATTACTTGTCAGAGCAACAGTCCATGGCTGCTTTAAGAACATGAGACGCCTTACAGATACTTTGAGAGCAAAATATCTAGTCAGTACATTTCATTTCTTATTAATGACACTAATAAAAAGATTTAGGGGCTAGGAAAGGAAGGGTCATTGAAAACACTGTCTTTACTACAGTTTCTGGCTACTTGCTAGTTCATTTAAGCATTTTAGACCCATCTCCATTAGTAGAGAGAAGCAAGAGTTGACAGATTTAGGTTACAACATGACCTCTGAAGAAAGCCCAGTAACAAAAAACGGGTTTCTAGAGTTCGCTTTCCCTTCCAAACAGTTCACTTTCCCTTCCAAACAGAACAAACTACACATTTACTATACACATGTGCTATTGTTAATCGTTTCCTGTCGACAATTACTTAGAGATGTGAATGATTTGCATATATGAAAGTCAGAAGAATATTTCAACACGTTGAAGAATCACATGCTCATTCTGGTCATTATATTCTTAAAATCTCAATATACAACTGGCAAAAGCAGAGAAATCAGGAAAGAAACAAACAAGGCATTTCTAAAATATCATTTGACTATGATAAAGCATTTGCATCTTTAAGCTTCCAAAGCATGACAGGCAGTAGTGGTACATGCCTTTTATCCCAGCACTCAGGAGGCAGAAGCAGGCAGATCTCTGAATTTGAAGTCTGCCTAATCTACAGAGAGAGTTCTGAGACAGGCAGGGCTACAAAAAGAAATCTTGTCTTTTTGGAAGTCACATATCAGATATCTTGTAGATCAAATATTTACATTATGATTCATAACAGAAGCAAAATTATAGTTATGAAGTAAAAACAAAATAATTTTATGGTTGGGGGGGTCACCACAGCATGAGAAACTGTATTAAAGGGTTGTAGCATTAGGAATGTGGAGAACCACTGCTCCAAAGGGTTAAGGCACCCACTGTGGCAACTGGACATCACCAAACACTACCATACACAGCTGTGTAAAGCTATTAGGCTCACCAGAAGGCAGAACTACCATGACATTATTACATGATAACTAAACGTCAGGTCTCAGGGTTTCAGACACCTAGCAGCCCTTATTGGAAGATGACAAGAGAAAACATGGCAGAAGGAGCTAAAGGAAAGACTATTATAGAAAGTCCTCTGACTAAAAACTTTTACTTTTCTTCCTAATTTGTGTGTGTGTGTGTGTGTGTGTATGTGCACGCACGTATGGTTGTCAGGTGCCTTTACCCATTGAGCCATCTCAGTAGTCCAATGCCTTTCTTTTTTCAAAGGGTATATGAGTCTTGTTTTGAAAATGTTTCCAAGTAATTCCCAGAGACGTTTCCCAGTGGCAGAAGGTCTATGTGATGCAGGAGCTGGCAGCCAGTGCTGCCTGCCTGTGTGCTTGTTAGATGAGAATGCTGACTATTCTGAATAATTAAATCAGCTGGGTTTGGCAATACTGTAACCAGAATCTAGTTTTAGCCATCATGGCATCTTTTTACTACTACTCTAAAATAAGAATGAAGAAATGGTCATTTAGCATCATGGAATCAAAATCTATTTGGATTTTCCTGCTGTTACCACATAGGTAAAAAACAGGGAAGCTTAAAAAAATATATTAAGAAAAAGTATGTCTGAGATCTGTTAGCTTTCGCCAATATTAAATCACTTACATTAGAACATACAGAGCCCATTAGCTTTGAGAGCTGTCCACGCTGTGCAGCAGGTAGCAAAAGCCCATCAAGAGGACATCAAGTTACTGTATATTTGCATAACAAAAACTGACATTCATATAAATTTTTTGTTTGTTTTGTTATATTATTTATTTTTTGTGAGAAAAGGTTTCTTTGTGTAACCCTGGCTTTCTTGGAATTTACAACGTAGACCAGCCTAGCCTTGAACTTAGAGATCCACCTGCCTCTGCCTCCCAAATGCTGGGGCTAAAGGTGTGCGCCACCATAGCCTGGCTAAATTTAATATTCTCTAAAAGCTACAAAATTCCCAAAACTAATCTAACAACAATAAACCATTAATACTTAATATTAGCAAGAACATGGGATTCACACAGAAACAAATGGATAGGATCCATAAACACTCAACTCTGAGTTAGGGTTAGGGTTAGGGTTACAGACCACAGGAGTGAGTATTATCCACCACAAACAATACTCAAAAGACATGCACAAGAAGCCACATAAATGAGCATTTCCCAGAGAATTCCCCAGTTCCAAAGCCCAAATGGCCATCAAATACAGAATGCATATGTTGTGACAGCTGTGTCTTCTACTGCAGACTGCCGCAGCAACAGAAAGAGGATAAACTAGTAGTATATGTGCCCACATGGGTAGACCTCACAGAAACAATGATGCCTCTCAAAAGCCAAACACACACAAGAGCCATACACTATATATATATAGGGATGCAAATCAACCAACTGGTACCCATGTAGGAAAGAAAAGGTCGAGGATGAAGGTTTACGTGGTGGCCAGTAATGTTCTTTACTGATATGGAAGGTGGTAATGTGGGTATTTATATTTTATAAAAGTCACTGAGTTGTCATCTACTATACGTATTTAAAATTTAAAAAGATTCCCACAAGTTTTTAAAATTCAAAGACTATAATGTCTATTAACATGGACTGATGCCCTTGATATATAAAGTATACACTTTTATGAATATATAATTTTATATGCCTTGTATTACATTTATATCTATATATATCAAAAGCTTACAGATACAACTATAAATCTAAAATTGTAAAATTTCCCTATATTTCTACCACTAAAACTTTCTCCATCTTTCTATAAATGTTTTAATGTCTGGCTTTTGACACTGAATATTTTAGTTTCTGTTCATTCTTTTAGAAACAGAGCAATTAAAGTGAATGAAGACTTATAAAAAGAAGTCCACTTCTGCCTTTTGTCTGCAATTTTACTCTGAGGTAAGCATGTGACTGACTTAAAAATATGGCATCATACACTTTTCTCTCTGTGTAATTATGAATGTAATAAAACAAGTATTTTTACAAGGTAGGAACAAGTGATAAAGGGTGTCTTCCTGACTCACCTTGGATTCAGACAATAAATGTAGAAAACGAACCAGTTAACCAAGCCATTTCCAGAAGAGGCATTGCAAAACAGATGAATAAACAGCAAATGTCATACTCGGAAATGATTTTTTCTCTAGGATCCTTGACCCATAATCCCGGCTGCTCTGGAAGCTCTGTGGGACTTGGCATTCAGGTCCTAGCAGCTTCTCTGCACTGTCTGTCAGCTCTGCTACTTCCCTTGGGAGAAAATTCCAGATAGTCCCTTCCCTGCTGTAGAAGAAAATCTCAGGAAAAGTTTCAGTTCTTCAAAAACCTCTTCTTTTCTACCTCTTGTAAGGGCAGAAGCAAAGACAAATATACATATAATTTACATACACTGACTAAAACTAAGGCATACTTAGTTTTTTTCCAGTGGGAAAGTAAGCCCCTTGTATCCAAAGGGGTTGGAAACAGTCTTTAGCTCCATCCATAATGCCTTGTGAACTTCAGCTTTACTGGCTGCTGCTCTCTGGAGTTTAGACACCACACTTCCTCCACTAGAGGGCTCTCAACTAGAACCCAGCCTTCTAAATCTTAATACTGGACTCGGGATCCCTCTCCATGTTTTGTTTCCTGCCACAACTTATTGGCTCTTCACATGTCATCCTTGGAATGAGGAACACAGCTCCTCCAGAGCATCGTTTTGGCTCCAGGTGCTATGTTAGCTTTCTATTCATTAGTGGCCACTGGGATTCCATATTTAAGCCTCTTTCTTTGATCACCGTAATTATCAACAATGATTTAAAATGTCATGTAAATGCAAGAGACTCTCAGGGCACAGCCTGTTCTTGGAAACCACTGGCTGGGCAGCTTTAAATTTCTCGTAGGCCAACACAAGTAAGCCTAATCCATTATCCTCACCCCTCATCTGCTTATCTTCCTATAGGAGCTAGCTCAGTTTAACCTCTCACCCACTCTCTCCCCCAAAACTTACATTTTTACCAGATTTCTTTCTTCTAGTTGTCATTTTTCCGTTCTAGAATCTTAGCCTCTTTTACCTGAACAACCATAACAACTCTGATGACATGAACGGGCCATCTCAGAAGCACAAAATATAAAATCCTTATAAATGTTCCTCTTAAATTAGATCACTGCACGTCCTTCAGCAACTTTCTACTGCAACCAGAGATATGTTTAGACATGTCTTGTTATATTGGAGCCAGAGTCCCATTAAATAGCCCTGGCTGGCCTGGAAGTCACTATGTGTCTCAAGCTTGTCTCCCACACTTAAGCTTCCTACTTTAGTGCTTTTGAGTGCCACATTATAAGTGTGTGTCACCACGGAGCTAATGATTCAATTTTTAAGCTAAAATACAATCATTCTCTATAAAAATTCAAGTATGTCAAACACACATAGGAAAATACTACTTCTCCATCACTTTTTTGTTTGTTACCTTAGAGTTATTCTTGCTTGTTTGTATGGATGCATAAGACCTTCCCAATACATGTAACACATCATCATTTAAGGAGCATACATTTAGGTTTCCACACATAGTAAGGGACTGACTGTTCTCCACCCTGCACACTGTACATTAATTCCTCACTTAACTCAAGGGACAGCAACCTCATGAGACCTCTAGCTATGTTCTGTAAGGACACGTCTTTCTGCTGATGTATTGTGTCTTATTATCTTCTG